ATATATATATTGTTTCTCTGGGAGATTTAGGGGAATGTATTCATGTTTCAAAAGCTCAGAGGCTGCAGCCAGTCTGGGAATACTATGTATGCATTTATAGTTTTTTATTTGACCCTTTTGTTTAATAAGATGATTGAGTTTGGGTGCTAGAGAGCTGGCTCAGCAGTTAAGAGCACTGGCCACTCTTGCAGAGGACCATAGTTTGGTTCCCAGCATCCACATAGCAGCTAACAACAGTCTGTGACTACAGTTCCAGGGAATCCAACACCTTCTTCTGACCTCCTCGGAAATTGCAGGACATGGATGAATTCACATACAAAACGCTCATGCACATAAAGTATAAATAAATAAATAAATAAATAAATAAATAAATAAATAAATAAATAAATAAATAAAATAAAGATTATTGAGCAAGTACTGCCTGCAAAGTGCTGTGTTCTGTGAAGGACATCGGGATGTGCACACCACAGCCCCTGACTGAAGGATGAAGGAGCCACATGTGCTCTCCAGGTTCTATGTGGGCTCAAGATCTGAGTCAGGTGTGCCTCAGACCCCTGGAGCCAGCTCTGCTTTAAAGCCTCTAAGCACCCTTCCTCCAGGGATGCCTGTCTCATGACCAAATACTGCTGATCTTACACTAGGAATGCCTCTTACTTTAGGCTGTTGGACCTTCCACCGGCCTCCCCGCCAAGCTCCTGTCTCATCCTCTCCTCCTCCAGGATATATTCCTTATCTCAGTGGGTTCCCAGCTCAAACAACTCCTCTTTTATCTTATCCCCGAAAAGGATTCTATGATCCGGATTCAAACTGGCTGAGGTAAACCCTCTTCTTTTAGCCAAACTCCTCTCCCTCACCTCCCACTCCTCTTTTACAGAAAACTTACTGTGAAGTTGTTTTGCTTATGATTCCCCCAGAGGAATCCTGTACTTTTCCAGCTTTTGACCTCTGCTGATTCTGCCTTCTTTTTCACAGTCACCCTTCACATCTGAATGTGTCACCTCCCACCTACTCCTTATGGTCATCTTCAATGCTACTCTCCCCTGAAGCCCCCCTGACAGATTAGTCAGATGTGAATGCTAGCTGTGGGGTCCCCTTTGACAGTGTTCTTAGGATCCTCAGAAGATTTCTGGTCACAATCGCCTCCTTGAAACCCTTGAGTTCAAAATGACAACTTTATCTGGCTTGCCTCCCTCCAAGGAAACTAATCTCCGAGCTCTCAACAATGCTTTAAAATTTACATTATTTATTTGTGTGTGTGTGCAAATGTGTGTGTATGCATGTGTGGGCACATGTGTGTCCCTTGAAGGGGTTAGAGGATAACTTTCTTTTTCTTTATTTTATTTTTTTTGAGACAGGGTGTCCCTGTAGCCCCAGCTGGCCTTGAACTCACTATGTAAACCAGGCTGGCCTTGAACTCAGAGTTCTGCCTGCCTGTGCCTCCTGAGTACTGGGACTAAAGGCGTGGGCCACCATACCTGGCTGAGGATAACTTTCTGAGAGTCAGTTCTCTCCTTCCACCGTGTGGATCCCAGAGATTGAACTCAGGTCAACAGGCTTGGTGGCAGCAAGTGCCTTCACCAACTGAGCCACCTTGCCTGGCTTGATTTGGGGGAGGTTGGGTCTGGATCTTGCTATGCTCCCCGGGCTGGCTGGTCCTAAACTCCTGGGTTTGAGGGAGAAGAACTTACAAAATTATCAGCCTGGCTAATGGGGGATCAGGGTTGCAGTTGCATACTGCTATGCTGGGCTTTAACAATCTTTCCAAGTGCCTGCTGTTGAATTCTGTGTCCATGAGCAGTGGTCTCCAATGCAGTCATGAAAGCCAGTGGATTCTGAATAGGGTAAAGACAACATTTGTCATGATGGCTGATAATTTCATGTTCCTCTCCTACAAGGGGCAACTGCAGAGGCCACTGGCCTCCTGCCTCTGCCCTGCGGCTCTCTCCATCGTCTCTGAGTACATTTGCTGGAGTGTCCCTTATACCATCTTTGTACCTTTGTTGTGTGTTTTCCACGTGAAGCACATGTGATGTGTGTGTGTGTGTGTGTTCACGTGTGTTGAGTCTGTGGGTTCTAATGTGTTCGTTTCTTAATCTTCTTGGAAGTTTGTGCAATGACTTCCTTTCTGGGATCTGCATTTCCTAGCATATTTCCAAGTATGTGAGCGCTTTCTGTTGTCCCTCGGTCTTGCTGGGCCTCCCCACGGATGGTACCCTCTCCTACGCGGCTGGACACCTCTCTCCAGCCTCCACATGCCTCTACATGTGCTTGCCCCCCGGGGATCGCACACACCGGCATTCAGGACTCCAAGGAGCAACGTGCTCTGGGGCACTTAGGGAGCTGGGGACCGAGACTCCACCCACACTTTGCTTCCTCCGCGGAATTTCCAGGCCACTCCAGCCCGCAGCACCCCTGCTGCGAGGGGCGGGGGTTCCACGGACCCGCCCCCTTTGGAGGGTATATAGTCAGCTGCGGCTCGCTCAGGACCAGCACGCATCCTCTGGCTCTGCTCCTCGCGCTTGCCATGTGTCACTCCCGCAGCAACCTCCCCACCATGACCGGCCTACGGGCCCCGGCTCCCGCTCCCTCCACCGGCCCGGAACTCCGGCGGGGCTCCGGCCCCGAGATCTTCACCTTCGACCCTCTTCCGGAGCCGGCGGTGACCTCCACCGCGCGTCCGAGCGCCTCTCGCGGGCACCGCAAACGGGTCCGAAGGGTCCTCTACCCTCGAGCGGTGAGTATGGCCCGAGTGGGTAACCGGGGGTGGGAGTCGCGCCACCCTGGTACCTCGAGGGAACCACTTGGCGCGGGGACCTTGCACTGACCTACTCTTATGTTCCCTCTCAGGTCCGGCGCCAGCTGCCAACCGAGGAACCCAACGTGGCCAAAAGGCTCCTCTTTCTCCTCCTCACCATCATCTTCTGCCAGATCTTGATGGCTGAAGAGGGTGTATCGCCGCCCCTAGCCCCGGAGGACGCCCCCAGTGCCGCGTCCCCTGCGCGCATCCCTGCGCCCACCTCTGCGCCCCCGGTCCTCGAGCCCTTGAATCTGACCTCCGAGCCCTCGGACTACGCTCTGGACCTCAAAGCTTTCCTGCAGCAGCACCCAGCTGCCTTCTGACCGTAAAGACTCACTCACATTCGGTCGGAAAACAAAGGCTCCAGGGGTACCTGGTGCGCCAGAACGTATCCCAAACTGGGACTTGTAAGGCAACTCTAACTCAGAACACTACTGCCGAGACGCCTGTCGGTGCTTGGGGGACGAGCCCGAGGCACTGTGAGCCCGGGCTAGACCCAGTGGGGAAGGACAGCGGCGCTCTCAGGACTTCTAATTAATATTTATGTATTTATGTATAACCTCCTGGCTGAGGGAGGGGTGTATGTAATATTTATTCTAACTTATGCAAGGGTGCGAGATGTGCTCCCCTGTTGTTAAGAAGATACCTTGATATTTATTGAGATTTATGGGGTCGGCGAGTTAGAGTGGGGGGGAGCACCCAGGTGGGAGGACTAGCCTGGGAGCTGGACTTGGTGGTGGGTCTTAGGTTTAGGGGTGACACTCGGTTTTCCAACATCTCAACTCTGCAGTCTGTTGTAGGACTTCCGCAGACCCTTGGGAATCCGGTCCGTGGCCCTTCGCCGTCTTCACGTTGCCCTCAGAGGCCGGTTACGGGGGTCGTGGGTCGGAGGGCGGCTGTCGGGGTCGCCCTGTATGTTCTGTGAACACAAATAAACTCGATTGTCAGCAGTTCTGCGTGTGTGTTTTTTTGCAAACGCCAAAGGCCGGCGGGAGGAAATGACTCGGTCTCGGGCCTGCCCCGAGCTCTTTTCTTGGAGTTACAGACCCATATCCGGTGGCCTGAAGCTGTCGTGCCGGGTCTGTGGTTTTCCCAGTCAGCCAGCCAGCGAGCCGTGAAGCAACCAGCTTACTCACTGCGCTGGGCGTGTGCCCAGGGACTGCCCTGAGGAGGGGAGGGGCTGGGAGAGGGGCGTGTCGTCGGGGGCGGGGCTTCTCGTCACGGGTGGGGGTGCGCGGGTTACTGCCGGGCTGCGGACCCGAGCGGGGCCTGCCGGGAAGGGGGCGGGCCGAGGGGGTGGTTCGGCGGCGGGGCGGGGTCGCGTCTGCTGCAGCCACGGGGTGCGGCTGGGGAGGGGGGCGCGGGCGCTGCTTCCAGGAAGGCGGGTCCGCGCGCGGCCCCTACCCGGCTCCCGCGGTCCGCCGGTCCCCGAGCTTCCAGAGACCCCCCCAGTGGAGCCCGCGTCCTGGAAGGTCAGTGGGGAGGGGGGGCGCCTCGGGCTGCTGGGAAGGGTGAGGAATAGCAGGGCTGGAGGAGGGGCGCGAGGAGGGGGAGCCTGAGCATCGGCGCGCGCACTGGGGTCCCTGGGCATCTTTGCACTGTCAACTGTCACAGGGGCGCGCCAGCGACTGGGCGGTGGCAGACGCAGACGGTGAGTCTGCCGGGAAAGGGAAGGATGTAGGTGCCACAGCGCCCCTTCCTTTCTGCAAAGGCTTCTTCTTCCCTCCAGCTGCAGCTTGAACCATGTTTTTCACCTGTGGCCCAAATGAGGCCATGGTGGTCTCGGGTAAGTTCCTCGCCGGGGACACCCCCACAAGCCCCTGTAGGTGTGCCCCTTCCTCTCCCCACCAGCTTCCCAGCCCCAAGTATCTGCTCCTGATGGCCCACCGGTGCCTCCAAGGCCTCGGTTGCTTGCTCCCCGCTCAGCTCCCAAGTTCTCTTTGTAGGTGTTCCCACCCCCATCCCCTCATAGTTCTCAGCTCTGTCGGGGCCACATTGTGTGCTCCCCTTGCAGGGTTCTGTAGGAGTCCCCCAGTCATGGTGGCTGGAGGCCGAGTTTTTGTCCTGCCCTGCATCCAGCAAATCCAGAGGTAGGAAGAGAACCCGGGAATGGGAACCCCAGTTTTCTCTCTTCTCCTTACTGTCTGCTCCTCTTCCCCAGGATCTCTCTCAACACATTGACCCTCAATGTCAAGAGTGAAAAGGTTTACACCCGCCATGGGGTCCCCATCTCCGTCACGGGCATTGCCCAGGTGAGGTGTTGAGAGCCTTTCTCCCGAAGCCAGCATCTTCCTTTTCCCAGACATTAAGGGTCTCCTTAACTCTGCCTTTTTACTCATCTGTCCATCTCCACCCCCCCAACTCCTCCTCTCCCTGCTTCAGGAGACCCCCTGTCATACCGTGTCCCTCCTATAACTGCAGGTGAAAATCCAGGGCCAGAACAAGGAGATGTTGGCAGCTGCCTGCCAGATGTTCCTAGGGAAGACAGAGGCTGAAATTGCCCACATTGCCCTGGAGACACTGGAGGGCCACCAGAGGGCTATCATGGCCCACATGACTGTGGAGGTGGGTCTAAGGGCAGAGAAAGGTCTGGATGGAATGCCAGGATGAGTGGGGACAGAGGACGAGCCCGTCTGTGAGAGATGGTGAATCTGACTTCCTCTTCCCTCTATTCTATCTTCCTAGGAGATCTATAAGGACAGGCAGAAATTCTCAGAGCAGGTTTTCAAAGTGGCCTCCTCAGACCTGGTCAACATGGGCATTAGTGTGGTCAGCTACACTCTGAAGGACATTCATGATGACCAGGTAAAACTAGGTAGTTGAGCCAGGCATGGTGGCTTAAGCGTGTCATCCCAGCACTGGGGAGGCTGAAGCAGGAGGATCATTGTGAGTTCCAGGCCAGCCTCGACTATGGTGTGAGACTCTCTCAAAAACAAAAACAAAAAATCCACCCAAAACACAAAGGCTCAGTGGTAGAGCACCATCCTAGCCTAGTGTCCTGGGGCTCTGGTTCAACCCCCAGCACCACAAAACAAAAGCAAAAGACTTGGCAGTGTATCCTTCCTGCTTCTTTACTCCTATCTCTTAAGCTCCTAAGGACTCTGTCCGTCTGCCCTCTCCCACAGGACTATCTGCACTCTTTGGGGAAGGCTCGAACCGCACAAGTTCAAAAAGATGCTCGGATCGGGGAAGCAGAGGCCAAGAGAGATGCTGGCATCCGGGTGAGAGATGGGGTTGCTCCACCATCCTGGGCTTGCTGGACACCCAGTGGAGAGGGATCTAGGGGGTGGGAGGTGAAGCCACGTGGGGTCAGAGCTGGGTCAGCAGGGGAAATCCATGAGGCCTGGGTGAAGACAGAGAAGCCTGGTGGGGGAGCAGGCTCTTACCCCGGACTTCCTCACTAACCCGACTCAGGAGGCGAAGGCCAAGCAAGAAAAGGTGTCCGCTCAGTACCTGAATGAGATCGAGATGGCCAAGGCACAACGGGACTACGAGCTGAAGAAGGCGGCCTATGACATTGAGGTCAACACCCGCCGTGCACAGGCCGACCTGGCCTATCAGCTGCAGGTAAGCACCACCACTCTGGACAGGTCGCCAGGCTGCTGGCCAACGCTTCCCCTTTCTCTCTGTCCTCCATATTTGGTCTGGCTCTGGCTCTCCATTCTGACCTGTCTCCCCCATATGAGGAAAGACATAAAAGACTCAAGTGGGGAAATAGTTCAGCTGATAAAGCCCTGGGTGGCAAGCACATCTCAGCAGTCCTGGGGAGGTGGAGGCAGATGGATTCCTGGGAATCACTAGCCAGCCAGGCTCATCTAATTATCCAGCCTCGGGCCATGTGGAGATTCTGTAAGCAAAATATCAGGTGGTGGGTGCCTGAGGAGAAATGAGGGGGTCTTCTGACTTACACATAGGCACGCACACACACACACACACTTGAGCGCATATGCATGCACACAAATACATACATGTGTACCTGCCACACCCATATAGACTCAAATGTTCAGCTGAAAAGGAAAGAAAAGGCTATGAATGTGATTGATCAAGAGGCCAGTCATATTCCAGGCAAACTGTGGCTGTATACAAGAGCACCTGGCTAGGTGTGAGAGCCAAGTTATGCCCTGGGTATAGGTGTGCACCTGTCCAGAGCAAGGGGGTGTCTTTTTGCATTTGCACGTGGTACCTCAAGGCTAACAGTAGCCTTGGTGATCTAAGAAGAGTGTGGGAACGAAAGGAGACACGGGCTTTGGGTGCTGCAAAGTGGTCCATGGGCAGCCCTTGAGATTTAAATATTTTTTAAAACATTTTATTTATATATTTATTTTTGGTCTTTTTTTGAGATAGTGTCTGCGTAGCCCCAGCTGGCCTGGAACTCATTATGTAGAACAGGCTGGCCTCGAACTCACAGAGATCCGCCTGCCTCTGCCTCTCGAGTGCTGGGTTTAAAGGCATGTACCACCACACCTAGCTTTATTTATCATTTTTATTTTATGTGTATGAGTGTATTGCCTGCATGTAGGTAGGTGCACCCGTGTCGTACAGTGCCCTCAGAGGTCAGAAGAGGGCATCAGATCCTCTAAAACTGGAATTAAAAGATGCTTGTTAGCTTCCATGTGGGTGCTGGGAATTGAACCCAGGTCCTCTGCAAGAGCAGCCAGTACTCTTAATTGCTGAGCCATCTCTCCAGCCCTGTAGCTAGTCCTTCTTGTGTATGGATTCTGTATTTGAGCATCGACCTGCTTGCTGAGATGGCCGGGTAATCCCCAGGTTGGGGCGTACAACATTTCCATGGTTGGTTGTGAGGTGTGAACATGGAAAGCCGAACAGTTCCACTTGCCTGATGCGGCTTCCAGATGCGGTCCAGTGAGGAGACGCCTTCTTCTTCCAGCTCTGCACTGCAGACAGCGTTGCCTGCATGCTGCCAGCATGATTTTTGCATGTTTGTACTTTTCCTTAGTGACTTTGCTGCACAAAATGACTTTGAGGGCTGGGGATGTGGCTCAGTGGTAGAGCTTTTACCTAATTCATGGGAGGCCTTAGTTCCATCCCCAGCATGCACACACATTCACACTCATAACAAAACGATGTTCTCATGGTGCTAAAGTGCTGTCTGGAGTCCCTTAGCACAAGATGCTCTGATAGACCTTGTAGAGAATGTGTGTCAGGTAAGCTTCATTCGGACATGAATTAAAGTGCTGTTGGACATATAGTCCATACTAACACATCAGCTTTGTATATATTATATAAGGTATCCTTATTTTTAGCTTTTAATTAATTACTTTTTTTGAGACAAGGTCTCACAGCACAGACCAGGCTGGCCTTTAACTCATGGAGCTCTGCCTCCCAAGTGCATGCATGTACCACCATGCATAACTGGTTGGTTGGCTGATTGGCTGGGTGGTTGGTTGGTTGGTTGGTTGGTTGGTTGGTTGGTTGGTGTGTGTGAGATAGTGTCACACTGTAGCCCATATTGGCCTTAAGTTCATGCCAGTGTTCCTGTCTCAACCTCCGTAGTGCTGGGATTCCAGACATGCATAGTTATAAGCTGTCCTTAAACAAAAGCACATAAACACATATTGATTGGCTGATAAAAGATGTTATGACCAGAGACTCACAGGACTGTGACCCAGTAATAGCCTTAGGAACAAAAGAAATATTAGTTAATTCAGTGTTCTTGTTCTTATGAATGTGATTGATCAAGAGTTCTTACAGAGCAGAACTATTGTGAATAGCAAGAGTTGGCTGTACTTTGAGACCTGTACCCAGAGGGCACTGATATTATGAATTTTGTTTTTGCCATAAGTTGGTACTGGGTGAAAGTTTAATTAGATACAAAAGCATCTTTAGTTATGATGTGAGATTCTTGGTGATTTGACAGGCTGATGAGGGTTTTGTTGTTCAAAGTGTGACCCACCTAGCAGTGGTGGCAGCAGCCAGAAACATCTTTTTTTTTTTTTTTTTTTTTGTCTTTTTGAGACAGGGCCTCCCCATAGCCTTAGCTCTCCTGGAACTCACTATGTAGACCAGGCTGGCCTCGAACTCACAGAGCTCCACCTGCCTCTGCCTCCCAAGTGCTGGGACTAACGGTGTACACCATCATGTCCGGCAAGAAACATCTTAAAAATGGAGAATCTCAGGCACCAGTTCAGGCTGACAGAATCAAAGCCTGTATTTTATTTATTTATTTTTATTTATTATTATTTTTTTGGTCTGTTTGAGACAGGGTCTTGCTGAAGCCCTAGCTGGCCTAGAACTCCACATGCAGACCAGACTAGCCTTGAACTCACAGAGATCAGCCTGCCTCTGCCTCCAGAGTGCTGGCACTAAAGGTGTGCGCCACCACACCTGGCTACAACCTGTATTTTAAGAGGGTCCCAAGGTGATCTGTATGCACACTGGAGTCTGGAAAACATTACTGTAATGAGAACCACTGGCTTGCAGTCAGACTGTGGACAAGGTTCCTGTGCTGGTCAGCTTTCCATCACTATACCTGGATTAACCAGCTTATAAGGAGAAAGAAATGGGGCTGGCAAGATGACTCAGCAGATAAAAGTGCTTGCTGTGAAAGGCCTGACAACCTGAGTTCTAACGGTGATGGAAGGAGAGAACCAACTCCCACAAGTTGCCCTCTGACCTCCACATATGAACACACACACACACACACACACACACACACACACAAGTAAATTAATTTATTAAAAATTTTAAGAAGAAAACGTTTAGGGTTGGGGGCATAGTTCAGTGGTGGAGCATTTACCCACCATGCATGTGATCCTAGGTTCGAGGCCCAGCACCACCAAAAGCAAACACATTGAAAAGGTTTGTTTTGGTTCCTGGTTTTGGAAATTTCTGCCTGTAACTAGGCCTAGGGTAAGGTAGAACATCATGGTCAGGGTTCCTTCAAAGCAAAATCACTCAGTCATGACCAGGAACAGGAGATAGCAAGGAAAGGACCACAATCCACAGACTTCCCATAAGGCCCTACTTCTCCCACCTCCTGATAGCAGCACCCTAGGAAGCAAGCCTTTAACACACGGGCCTCTGGGAGACACTTAACCAAACATGGTTCCTGACCTTGACACAGCTTTTTTCCTCTGCAGATCAAGTGGTTACTGGGCTCTGTTCCACATGGGTCCGTTTCTTGTTACATGTCAGCTGCTGTGCTAGGCAGGATCTGAGGCTCAGGAGCTAACAGCACCGGGTGCCCTTGAGTGTAGTAAAGACCGAAGTAAGGAGGAACAGGAAAAAGCCACTTTGCAGTCAAAGCGCCTGGCTCCACCTCTGGGTAATGGTTCCTCCTGTACATAGTACCTGAAAAGAGAAAAGTGGGGATGTGACAGTCGAGCCTGGCACAGGTGACAATTGGGGTGGGGGGGGTGCCAGTAATAACTGGGCTATAACTGCCTGGATTACAGGCAGTAGGACCTATCTCAGAAAGGGGTGATGGCCACTGGGGATGTCACTAAGTTGGTAAATGCTTGCCTAGAAGCCCTGAATTCAGTCCCCAGCACTGCCTAAAGCTGGTGTGGTATTATATACCCATAATTCCAGTACTTGGGAATTAGGCAGGAGGATCATGAGTTCCAGGGTAGCCCGAGCTACATAGAGAGGCTATTAAAATCAAAACAATCAAAAAATAGAACAGAGCAAAGTGACTTTAGGGTACATACTATACAGGAAAAAGAAAACTTAAAAATAGACTGAGGGTGGTTCTGTGTAGACACTGTACGCTTCAGGCTTGGGTTTAATCTCCAGCCAAAAGAAAAAAAAAAACCTTATTGAAATTAAGGAAAATCAAGAAATCAAGACATAGAACAAAAGAAAGAGTAGATAGAAACTAGCAAGGTGTCAGGGATGGAAAATCACATTCAAAGAGAGTTTCTTCCTTTTTTGAGGGAGGATAGGGTCTCAAGTTTTTGGCTGGCTTGTAGCATGATTTGTAGCCCAGACTAGCCTCCAACACCCGATCCTCCTGCCTCTACTTCCCAGTGCTGGGATTACAGATGTGCACTACATGCCAGACGGAGAGAATTTCTAAACAATTTAGCAGAAAAATTGAAAAAACAGATGTTTCCATCTGTGAAAGCAGTAAAAATTAGAATATTAGGCCAGGCATGGTGGTGTGCAACTTTAATCCCAGCACTCAGGAGGCAGATACACATGGATTTCTGCTAGTTTGAGGCTAGCCTGGTCTACCTAGAGCGTTCCAGGCCACCAGCCAGGACTGCATAGTCAAACCCTGTCTCCAAAAAAAAAAAAAAATCTGCATTGAAATGCATCACTGAAATTTCAAAACGCAAGGACAAAAAAGAAAAATAGTACCTGGGAGGGGGAGGGGGAGGAGGAGGAGGAGGAGGCAGGAGGATTAAGAGTTCAAGGCCATCCTTAGCTACATAGTGAATTTGAGATCAGCCTGAGCTACGTGAGACTGTCTTAAAAAAAAAAAAAAAGAGGGAGGAGAGGGGTCCAAACAGGAGGGTCACTAGGGCTTGCTGATGCCAGCCTGCCAAAAATCGAAAATTCCAGGTCCAGGGAGAGTCATTGCCTCAAAGGACTAAGATATAAAATGATATCAGAGGACACCATATGCCCACCCATGGCTTCTTTGAACATATAAAACACATGCACATGTGCATGCATCTGTCACACATACAAAAACAGAAAAGGGGGTAGAGAGGTGGCTCAGTGGTTAAGGGTATACTGCTCTTACAAGTTTGGTTTCCAGCACACATGTATTGGATGGCTCATAACTACCAGTAACTCCAGCTCCAGAGGGATCCAACAACTCTGGCCTCTGAGGGCACTTGCACACATGTGCATGCACATGCACACACACACACACACACACACATAGTTAAAAATGAAACAAATCCTTAAAAAGAAAATCTTTTAAAATGACTATTGTAATGAACTCATAAATATATCACTCAGGCAGATTAAGGTAGCCACCCAAACACTTGCCCAAGGAACAGTTAGAATGGTCATTTTAGAGTCATGGAGCTTTCCTGAAGGTCTCACACTTTCTCAATTACATTTTTATGCACCACGAAAAAGATTAAAAGGCCATGACAGAATTCAAACTAGAAAAACAGCTTTCTGTCCTCAAGTCAGGTATTCGCTACCTGTGTTCCATCCTTCCCCATCACCTGATACCCTTTCTAAATGTTATACTATACCTACATGTACATTATATGTGTACGTTCCAAGCTAGGATTCTCATATCAGGGAGAACATGCAGTTTTTGTCTTTCTGAGATTGGGTGACCTTGGTTAATACTACACATTCTAAGTCCATCCATTTTTCTGCAAATATTGTGATTTCATTATTTTAGAGTTGAGTATTCCATTTTATGTACCAGGTTTTCATTATTCATTCATCTTTTGATGGACATCTAAGTTGGCTGCAGTTCCTTATGATAGTAAATAGAGCAGCAGTAAACATAGATGTACAGATACCTCTATGGTAGGGTGTAGAGGTCTCTGGTATATGCCCAGGAGTGGAGTAGCTGGATCATATGGTAGTTCAGAAAATTAGGAAAAAATTTTTGTTGAGATAGGGTCTCACTATGCAGCTCTAGCTGGCCTGGAACTCCCTATGTAGACCAGGCTGGCCTCAAACACAGAGATCACCTGCTTCTGCCTCCTGAGTGCTAGGATTAAAGGTGTTCACCACCATACCTGGCTAAAAAATCTCCAAAGGGACAAAAAAGCTGGGCATGGGGACTCATGTCTGAAATCCTTGCGTTCAAGAGACTGAAGCAGGAAGATCACAGAAGTTTGAGGCCAGCTTGGGCTACATCATTCCAGGGAGGGTAGCCTGGGCTGCAGAGTGAAACTCTTTTAAAAGAAGGAGGGGCGGGGAGCAGCAGTTGTTTCTGGGAAGGGAACTGAGTGGTTGGAAGAAAGAGGTGAAGGAAGCCCGCTTTTTAGTGTTTTTCTTTTGAATTTGTATCATATGCAAAAAATAAAACTGAAAAAGATATCCCCTTGGCAGAAAAGAAATAGGCTGTTACAAGAGTTGGTGTGGCTCTAAGGTCAGTGAAAGGCCGGTGGTGTAGTGGATGCTTTTGTCCCAGCACTCCCTTGGCAGAGGCAGGCCAATCTCTGAATTGCAGGCCATCTGGAGGCAGCCAGGTATGGTGGCACTTCCTGTAGTCCCAGCACTCAGGATGCAGAGGCAGGCTGATCTTTGGGAGTTCAAGGCCAGCCTGGTCTACATAGTTCCAGGCCAGCTGGGGCTGCAGGGAGACCCTGTCTCCAAAAAGAGGCAGTAAAGATGTAGGAAAATGGATGGGTGGGTGTGGGCAGGACTGTGCAGTAGATGATGACCACCAGGGTTCAGTGCCCTCTTGGTGTCCACACTGTAGGATACTCAGGTGGGAAAAAGATTACTATAGATGTCTTGTAAGGGATGCCTAAGGCCGGCAGACACCAGGTCACTCTGAGACTGCCCAAGGAAGGTCGTAGCCTTAGACTAAGTCCAGGAGGACCCAGGCCCCTCCCAGGCCCTGCCTTGGGTCTAGATCCCTCTGGGTAGGCTTAGCCGACCCGGACGGACTTCCCAGGCCCCCTCTGCCTTGCATGCGCCCGGGAGTGCCGGCTTTGCTCTCTGAGTGGGACCTGCTGCTCAGCCCTGACTGGCCGCTCCCCAGGTGGCCAAGACCAAGCAGCAGATCGAGGAGCAGCGCGTGCAGGTGCAGGTAGTGGAGCGCGCCCAGCAGGTGGCGCTGCAGGAGCAGGAGATCGCCCGGCGCGAGAAGGAGCTGGAGGCGCGCGTGCGCAAGCCGGCCGAGGCCGAGCGCTACAAGCTGGAGCGCCTGGCGGAGGCGGAGAAGTAAGGACCCCCGGCCCCTCCCCGCCTCGAGGGACTCCCGGACTGGGCAGGTGGCAGCGGACCCACTTCCCTTCTGCCCCCAGGTCCCAGCTGATCATGCAGGCGGAGGCCGAAGCTGAGTCTGTGCGGGTGAGCTGGGTGTGCCTGCGGATTAGCGCTGGGAAGGGCTTGAGCTGAGGTTCCCCTTTCTCGCTTTCTTCTCCCCCTCCTCCTCCCCCTCCCGCTCCTCTCTCTCCCTCTCCTCTTCATCATCATCATCAGGGCAGGGAGGAGCACACATGCCACTGTGAAAGGCCAGAGGATAACTTGAGAAAGGCAGATCTCTCCCACCGTGTGGGTCCCAGGGATCAAACTCAGGATGTCTGGCTAGGCAGCAATGGTCTTTACCCACTGAGGCATCTCGTTGGCCCCAGGGCTTCTTATTGATTGCCATCAGTCTCTACTGCATCCTGTACCCTCTTCAGATGCGTGGTGAAGCGGAGGCCTTTGCCGTCGGTGCCCGAGCTCGTGCTGAGGCAGAGCAGATGGCCAAGAAGGCGGAAGCGTTCCAGATGTACCAGGAGGCTGCCCAGCTGGACATGCTGCTGGAGAAACTGCCTCAGGTTTGGTGGGAGGGGCGGAGAGGACCCTGCGAGATTGGAGGGTAAAGTGGGTGACCAGGGGACCATAAGTTAGGGGTGCCAACCCTAAGCCAGCCACCAAAGTGAGGTACAGGTGGTAGGAGGAGGGTTTTTAAATGCCGGGTAAGTCCTTTTCTGGGTGGAATGGTCAGACCACGGTGCTTATGAGACGTCTCTCCCTGCCAGGTAGCAGAGGAGATCAGTGGTCCCCTGACCTCAGCCAATAAGATCACACTAGTGTCCAGTGGAAATGGGACCGTGGGGGCAGCCAAAGTGACTGGGGAAGTACTGGACATCCTAAGCCACCTGCCAGAGAGTGTGGAGAGACTCACTGGCATCAGCATCTCTCAGGTGAGGGTCTGTGTGTTGTATGAAGAAATTCTGAGTGCCTGTATCATAAGATCCAGTAGGGTAAGCACTTGACATGCATCCAGAAGCCAGTCACTAACATGGATGGCTTTCTTAATGCCCAGGCCACAGTGCTGAGCTCTGCCCTGATGCAAGTTTTTTGGTTGCTGTTTTAAGTCAAATTAGTTTTAGGTGTGTAGTATTTTACAAATAAAGAAACTAGGCCAGGTAGTGATAATGCACCTTTAATCCTGGCACTCAGAAGGCAGAGGCATATCTCTCTGAATTCTAGGCCAGCCTGGTCTACATAGTGAGTTCCAAGCCAATCAGGGGGCTATATAGTGAGACCCTGTCTCTAAAAACAACAACAAAAACAAAGCAAAAAAACTACCTCCAGGCTGGTAAGATGGCTCAGTGGTTAAGAACACTTGCTACTCTTATAGAGGACTTGAGTTCATTTCTCAGCACCCATGTCACATGACTCACAGCCACCTGTATTTCCAGCTCCAGGGCATCTGACACCCTTGTCTGCCCTTTGGAAGCAACCACATGCAGGTAATGCATATACACACATACACATAAATAAAAACAAATCTTTAAAAAAGAAAGGGGATCCGGGCATGGTGGCGCACGCCTTTAATCCCAGCACTTGGGAGGCAGAGGCAGGTGGATCTCTGTGAGTTCAAGCCTGGTCTACATAGTGAGTTCCAGGACAGCTGGGGCTACAGAGAGACCCCGTCTCAAAAAGACCAAAAAAAAAAAAAGAGGGAACTGGAGGGGTAGCTCAGCAGTTGGGAGCATTGACTGCTCTTGCACCTGGGTTCGGTTCCCAGCACCCACATAGTGATCTGTAGCTCCAGTTCCAGGGGATCCAGTGTCTGCTTCTGACCCCCTGTGGGCACTGCATTGCAAGTGGTACACTTGTTTGTGTACATGCAGGCAAAACACACAAAGATAAATTTTAAGAGAGAGAGGAGAGAGAGAGAGAGAGAGAGAGAGAGAGAGAGAGAGAGAGAAGGAAGGAGAGGACTGAAGAGTTGGCTCAGAAATTAAGAGGTTTTTGTTTTTCCAGCAGACCTGAGCTTTGTTCCTAGCACCCAGAAGGGTAGCTTGCGACTGCCTGGAACTCCAGTTCAAAGGGATCCAGCACCCTCTTCTGGCCTCTATAAGCACTGCATTCACACACACACACACACACACACACACACGCACACAAACTCTTGAAAAGAGAAGAAGCCTCTCCAGGGGTTGAGGAATGGATGTCAGTAAAGTGCTCAGGGGCTTGAGTTCGAGCCCCAGAATTCATGTGAAAAAGCCAGACACAGTGGCAGTGCTTACCAACCCAGTGCCATGGGGCTCACTGGCCATCCATTCTGGTCTGCTTGGCAAGTTGTAGGCCAGTGAGGGACCCTGTCTCGAAAAGAAATGTGGGCAGTATTTAAAGAGCCAAGGTTCTCTACCCTCTACACACATGCACACAGGTGCATGCACACCCTCATGCACACACATAACACAAACTTTTTAAGATTTACCTAATTAGTAACTATTTTTATGTGTGTGTGTACCTGCATGCGTTTACATGCAACACATACATTCAGGTACCTGCAGAGGCCGGAATAGGGTAACAGATCCCTTAGAACGGAAGTTACAGGAGGTTGTGAGCCGCAGTGGTGGTGGTGCTAGGTTCCTCTGCAAGAGCAGTAAAAACTCTTAACTGCTGAGCCATCTCTCCAGCCATTTTGTTTTATGTTTTGTTTTCCACAATTTATTTTAATGATGTATGTATGTGTCCTTATGTCTGTGTGTGGGTCTGTGCATATGAGTGCATGTGTTCACAGAGGTCTAAGAAGGGCATCAGATCCCCTGGAACTGGAGTTACACTGTTTAGCTACGTGATGTGGGTGCTTGGGGTCAAACCCAGTCCCCTGGAACAACAGCAGGTGCTCTTAACTGATGAGCCATCTCTCCAGCCCGTTTTGTTTTGTGTTTGAAACAGGGTCTCACTATGTAGTCCTGGCTGCCCTGGAACACAAGATACCTAGACCAGACTGGCTTTGAACTCAGAGGTCCGCTTGCCTCTGCCTCCCAAGTGCTGGGATTAAAGGTGCATGCCACCACACCCTGTTAACTGTTGTAGCCCCCACTGCAGGTGGAGCAGGGCTTCAGCCCAGCAGTCTCTGCAGCCTGAGCTCCCTGGCACCACAGGAGAGAAGACAGTTAATTCATCCCGAGGCACATCACTGCTTTCCCTGGTGCGCTGCATCTTGGACAGGTTTTCAATCTGTGCCTGTCTCCTCACCTGGCTGGGCTGTTGGAGAGACAGACATTTGCAGAGTGCTTAGGACAGCATCGTATGTGCTCCATGAAATGTTTCTAAGTGAGTGTTGGATCATACCAACGACCTTTAAGCTGGGTTTCTTGGAACCTCCTTGAGGACTAAAGGAAGGTTCTGGGCCGAGAGTCTGCAAGCAAAGCTCTGCCCACCAGCCCTCTTCAGTGATTTTCGTGGCTGGATTCCAATGACTGCTTGGAGGCAGAATTCCAAAACTCTTGTCCTCATGTGACCTCCCTGCGGCCCATCTGTCCTGGTGGGGACTGAGGAGGGCAGGTGCCTGACCCCCACGTCATCACGCTTGTCTTTTTTTCCCAGGTGAATCACAAGCCTTTGTAGACAGCCTGAGCCCTCAGCCCTCACCGATGCCTGGACGTGTGGCTCAAGTGACCTGAGTGTATCTTGTTGCATGTACCTCACCTGGCCTTCCCGAACATGCCCTCTAACAAGAGGGGTGCCCCATCTCTCCTTGCCAAATAGCCTGTGCCTTGGAAGAGGGGGTTGCTCCCCTTCCCAGCCCCACATTACCAGTTGTGAGCCAGTCCCCACACCAGATTCTTATGGTCCCACTATACTTCAGCCCAACTATTTAAATCTTCCTAATTAAATTAGACTGCCTAAGCCTGTTGTCTAGACTTCTTTTCCTTACCAAGACCAAGAGATGGCCCTCCAGATCTTAAGTATTGATACTTACAAACAGTTAAGACACCAATTGCCAGGCATGGCGGCACCTGCCTGTTATCCCAGCACTTGGGAACTTGTTCCAGGGCAGCCTGGGCTAAATAGGTTCAAAAAACAAGTGCTGTAATTTCTTCTAACCAGAAGTTGGCTGTGGTTAGAAAAGTACACTAGGGCCAGGTGTGGTGGTGCACGCCTTTAGTCCCAGCACTCGGAAGAGGCCAGCCTATCTATAGTAGACAGCTGGGCTACAGGGAGACCCTGTCCCCAAAAATACCAGAAAAAAAAAAAAAAAAAAAAAAAAAAAGGCCAGGTGTGGTGGTACATGCCTTTAGTCCCAGCACTCAGGAGGCAGAGGCAAGCTGATTTCTGAGTTCAAGGCTAGTCTGGTCTACCATAGTGAATTCCAGGCCAGCTGGGGCTACACAGTGAGACCCTGTCTCAAAAAAAAAAAAGTATGGAAATGTTGAGAATTGTACAATTAAGTTATGCCCAAAGTTGATACTAAATACAGCCCTCCCTAGACTCTAGGACCCTTCAGATACCAAGTCTGTGGGTCTCCTGCAGCCCCAGCTGTCCTGGAGCTCACTATGTAGACCAGGCCTGCCTCTGCCTCTCAAGCGCTGGGATTAAAGGCAAGCACCACCATGCCCGGCCATCCCTTTTTTGAGATGGCACATTGGTATATAACCTGCATACACCCTGTTACATATACTATACCATCACACCTAATGTAGTTAGCAGGGCATGATACTGGCACTGTAGTCACAGCAACAGGGAGATGGAGGCAAAAGAATCAATTCAAGGCCACCCTCAGGTAATGTGGAAATTTGATGCTAGCCAGGCAACATGAGATCATTTTTTTAAAAAAAACAGCCTGAAGAGATGGCTCAGGGGTTAAGGGCACTTGTTGCTCTTGCAGAGGACCCAGGTTCAATTCCCAGCATCCGAGTGGCAGTTAAGTTTGTGACTCCAATGCCTTGAGTTACATGGATGTCACACTACACAGGTGCACTTACATGCAAGCACTACACTCACATATTTTTAAATGAAAACAGGTGCCCCGGGCGTGGTGGTGCAGGTCTTTAATGCCAGGACAGTGGAGGCAGTCAGACTTCTGAGTTCCAGACCAGCTAGGGCTACAAGGAAACCATCTCAAGACCATAAAAAGAAAAAGGCCCTGACTTGATGCAAAATTACGCTGGTTGCTGTGCTTTATCATGTATCACTTAGGGAATGGCAGGAACTTACTCTTGTTACTTTGCCTCAGAATAGGTAAGTAACCTATGGGCTTGGAGAGTTGACTTTAATCTTCCAGGGTAGTTTTGAGGCTTATTTCCTGTCCTTTGAAGGAAGCAGGAAGAATAAAACTAGTTACTAGATGGTAAGGTATTCCCCCATTAGCAATTCTGGCCTGTAGGGTAAAGGAAAACTCAGGACAGCAAAAAACACCAATAGGTCCCCTGACCTAGAGGGCATCCCGGATGGGCTTGACCACTGGGTTTTGAACTTAAGATCTTCCATTCCAGTCAGGCATGCCCCACCGGACCATTACAAATGGTTTCCTTTGTAAGGACTTGAACCACACCCCCAGCTCTTGCTTGTGGTTCTCAGCTATGAACCTCTAATGTGAATCTTCTGGGAACGCTGGTGCAACACCGTTGGGGGGGTCTGACCCACTTTTGGTTCCACATGTGACCACCCAAAAATGTTGATGCTGCTATGGGAACCAACCATGCCTTGTAACTCACTTGAGTCACTTCTCTGTGGAAGGCTAGCTCAGCTATGGAGCCCTTGCCTGGCCCAGAAGGAACCCTGGGCTCTTTAGCAATCCCCAAAGAAAACTGCTAGGCATGGTAGCATGCATTTGCAACCATCTGTTCAGTCCTCAGTATCACAAAAAAACCTTAAGACTTGCCTGGCACAGTAGGTTTGCCTAACAGAATTTAAGATGCAGTAGTCGTACTAAGTTTTGTGATAGCCTCATCAGCTTGGGAACTGTAACTGTCCATCCTCCACCAGAATGAGCACACACCTCACAACCTTCTTTTCCAATTCCCATTTATTTTTGGCTCTTGGGGAAATGTCATCTTTTCAATATGAAAAAAAAAGCAAGTTCAACACAAAATAGAAATCTGAAGTGTAGGAAAAATGGGGGTGGGGGAGTGACCCAAAGCAACAGACACCTCCAAAGACAGATGCAGCTGAGGACAGCTGGGGGACCATAGGTGGAGATAATACTGTATAGTCCCCTCCTGAGGCTGAGATGGAATAGGTGAAAAACAGACTGAAAACCCACCCTCTTCCTGCCAGTGACTGGGACCTGCCATCCCCAACCCCCATTCCGTCATCTACTACTTAGGCTTGGGATGGTGGCCACTGTCGGTTTTCAGCACTGGGCTGGTTCTAAATGGGATCTGGAAGAGACTCAAGTTTCCTGGAAAATTTTTCTGGAAGAATATTAAACTGAACAGTTATGAGAAGTAGGTACCAGGAGGAAATAAAAGGTAACCCAGAAGGGCAGAAAGCTAGGTCCAGAGTGGAAAGAGAAAGGAGACGTTCCACAAACAAATATTTATTGAGCGCCTACTATGTGCCAGGCACTAAAAATCTCTTCCCCTTCTGCGGTGGTATTCTGGCACTGCTGGAACTCTGAGACGAGGTCATTCATGTTCCTCTCGGCTTCCGTGAACTCCATTTTGTCCATACCCTCACCTGTGCACCAGTGAAGGCAGGACTTCCAACAGAACATGACTGTGAACTACTCAGAGATGCACTTGAACTCCTGGATGGCAGTGCTGTTGCCAATGAACGTGACAGCCATCTTGGGGCCATGTGACAAGATGTCAAAGACAGCAGTCTTGACGTTGTTGGAGATCCATTCCACAAGTAGTTGCTGTTCTGGTTCTGCACATTGAGCATCTGCTCATTCACCTTCTTCATAGACATCCATCCACGGAAGATAGTGGCCACAGTGAGGTACCTGCCGTGGTGGGGGTCACAGGCAGCCCTCATGTTCTTGGCATTGAAGACCTGCTGGGTGAGTTCAGCACAGTGAGGGCCAGATACCACTGGCTTCCACAGCTGGTGAGAAGGGCAAAGCCAGGGACGAAGAAGTGGAGACGTGGGAGGGGGCACCATGTTAACTGCCAGTTTGCCCAGGTCAGCATTGAGCTGGTCAGGGAAGCGCAGGAAGGTGGTGATGCCACTCATGGTGGCTGAGACCAGGTGGTTCATGTCCCCGTAGGTGGGCCTGGTGAGCTTCGGGTGTGGAAGCGGATGTCATTGTGGGCCTCTTTGTCAATGCAGTAGGTCTCATCAGTGTTCTCTACCAACTGATGGACAGAGAGGGTAGCACTGTAGGGCTCAACCACGGTGTCGAACACTTTGGGTGAGGACACCATGCTGAAGGTGTTCATGATGCAGTTGGGGTACTTTACTCAGATCTTGCTGATGAGCAGGGTGCCCATTCCAGAGCGGGTGCCTCCACCCAGCGAGTGGGTCAGCTGGAAGCCCTGCAGGCAGTCACAGCTCTCGGCCTCCTTCCGTACCACATCCAGGACAGAGTCGACCAGCTCCGCCCCCTCTGTGTAGTGGCCCTTGGCCCAGTTGTTACCTGCCCCGGACTGACCTGGAATGTGGTCAGGAAGAAAGCTTAATTACTAAGCTGTGGGACATACAGGATGTCTTTACTTTTCAACCTTTGGAAGAATTCCCTAGGGGCAAGTTCTTGAGTCTCCTGCCTGTAGTAGTCTCACCACAACCTCTTCAGTAACAAGCTACCACTTACTCCACCCCCATTAAAGTTTCAAAACTCAGCCCTAAGTTCTCCAGTCTTTAAACCCAGGTTAAGTTGACTGTGCTATTCAGTAATGCCATCTGAGTAACTCACCAAAAACAAAGTTGTCTGGTCTGAAGATCTGGCCAAAAGGACCTGAGCGAACAGAGTCCATGGTCCCAGGTTCTAAATCCACCAGGATAGCTCGAGGAACATACTTGCCGCCTATAGGGATTCAAGCAGGTGCCATTTAAGAGCAGGTAGTGGGAAGGTAAGTTAATTAGGGATCGGGTGCTAGCCACTGACCCAAACCTGTCATTCCAGACACTGTCAGAAGGTGGCAGCAAAGCTAGTCTTTGGCTCCCCTAATGGTGTCTAAAAAGGGAAAATGTGATTAACTCACCCAAAGAGGAAACAGGTACTTAAAAAGGAAAAACGGGAATGGGCAATGGCATTAATCCCTGCACTCGGAAAGCATCTGAATTACAGGCTTATCAGAGCTGGGTAGTGAGACCTTGACATGAAAATAGCAAAAAAATAAATAAGTAACCAGGAGCAGTGGAGACCAATTTCTGCCCTCACCTGTGGCTTCGTTGTAGTACACCGAGATGCGATCCAGCTGCAAGTCGCTGTCCCCGTGGTAGGTACCGGTGGGGTCGATGCCGTGCTCATCGCTGATCACCTCCCAGAACTGCAGTGAGAAGCGCAGTGAGTCCTCGACCGCTCCAGTCCCAAACGCCTCCCCACCCGCCTTTCAGTTCCAGATGCGCTCCAGGGAGCCTGCAAACCCGTTATCTGCCTGCCAAACCCTCTCTGCAGGTTCCACTCCCAGGAAAGCCGCGGCTTCCGATGGATGATGGACAGATGAAGGGCCGGGAATGGATAATTATGCGCAAATTCAGGGAGCTGCGCGCATCCGTGAGGGTGGACGTGGTCCACTAGACTACAGACTTGGACCGGCACCCAGCACTGTGCCTTCCAGGCCGGGCACCGCCCCTCCACTCCAGCACAAAAGACCAGGATGGGGGGGGGAGAAAGGTGCGGCCGCTGCAGTCGCCCACCCCCAGGCGCTCCACGTGACTGCGGCGGCGCGCGCTCCAGCTGCCCACAAAAGCCGGAGTCGCGTGGGCGTGGCCGGCGCGAGGGGCGGGGCATGCGCGCCCCCGCCAGCCGGCCAGGGCCGCATTGTCCCCCGCGCGCAAGGGGCCGGCCCCGCCCCCACAGGGTCCCACCCTTTCGGCTACAGCGCAGCCCGCCGCACTTCCTCTCCGCCCCTCCCCCGCCACACTGTAACCGTAAAAAAAAAAAAAAAAAAAAAAAAAAAAATCCCCCAATGCCTAGGCATTTTACGCCTTTCTTGCTTTCTTCGTTCCCTTTAATAGTCTCGAGGGGCCCCTTACAGAAATGCACACCTCCCACCTTCCTCTCTCTCCTCCCCAAATGCTCACACCTTACGAAGGTCTCTCCAAGGAGCAATTTAAAGTAAAACTAGCTCCCAGAAGAGAGTCGTTATCTGTATACGGGAACCCTCGGAGAGCGCGCCCCGGTGACCCCCAGCGTTGGAGAGGACCAGGGCGCGGCCGCCTCCCCCAACGGGGCACGACGTGGCCCCTCTTCGCGGAACGCGCTACAGCTGCGCGCCCAGACTCGCCCCTTCCCCCTCCAGCTCCGTTCCACCGCCGACCGCCGGGCGGGGGGTGGCGGTCGCAGGCGGGGAAAACCTCCCTCGCTTTGTCTCGTTTCCGCATCTCTCCTTCCCGGTCCCCGGACCGTTAGGAGAGCCCTTAAAAAAGAAAAAGTGGCATCTTAACAGATCCTCGGCCTCCTGGACCCCCTAAACCCGAAAGACTTTTTTTTTTTAAGACCTCCCTAAGAATGTGCCGGCCAAGAAAAATATTTCCTGATTTTTCAAAATCAAAATGCTAGCTACAAATATGGATGGTATCCCTACGTGGAACGTCCAGGGGACGCAAGCACCCCGCAAACACTGCTCACAATTAACTTGGATTTTTTTTTAACCCTAATATTACACCTAAAATGTTAAAAATTCTTACCTTGGCACCGATCTGGTTGCCACACTGACCGGCCTGGATGTGCACGATTTCCCTCATGGTTACGGTTGACTGCAACAAATTTTTGCTCGCTTCAAGGTATGTATCGAGCAAGAAAAGATATTAGTAATGATTTTTTTTTTTTTCTGGGCTGGTCGCGGGCTGGAAGAATGGAACGTGGCCCCGGAGGCTGGAGCGGCGAGATGCAAGCTCGACGGCAGAAGGATTCTGAGAGGCAGAGAAGCGGGGCGGGCGCAGCAGGGAAGGCGCGCAGGGCGGGGCGCGCCTGCGCGGGCCGGGGGCGGGAGATGTGCGGACGCCCTGGGCTCAGACAAAGCCCCTCCAGCCCCACGCTGATTAGACGAGCCGGTCACGTGCCAGACGACCATTGGTCTCTGCGCCAGGGGTGAGCTCAGGCCTTTTTGGGAGTTGTAGTTCGCTATTGTCCGCTGCAAAATGAAGTTAGGAATGGGTGGGTACTGTGGGCGTATCCGTGAGTGAGTGAGTGAGTGAGTGAGTGAGTGAGTGAGTGAGTGAGTGAGTGAGTGAGTGAGTGAGTGAGTGAGTGAGTGAGTGAGTGAGTGAGTGAGTGAGTGAGTGAGTGAGTGAGCTTTTTTAAAATGGAAAATGACCTTGCACAAGATTCTCTTTCTCCATTCTAGAAGGCTTTGAGGGGGTACCATAAGAGGCTTTTGGGGAATGCAGTAATTTGGGGAGTCTGGGGTACCCTGAGTTGGGCAGTGATGGATAGGCACGCGCAGCATTTTCCCGACTGCAGTGTCTCTGAGAATACTGGACTGCTTAGCTCAGCGGAACTCGAGAGAACTGTGGCATCTTGCCCGGCTACATAGTGTCTAATCCCTTGTGTTCCCAAGATGTGAATGTCAGAAAAGCGCCGCTCCCTCACATCCTCAGGAAGAAGAAAAAGATTGCGCCCCACCCCCGAGGTGTCCCAGGGTTAATGTTTCCAAATTGAAACAAAAGTGCATCAAGGACTTTGCAGAATAGAAATGTTGTTAGGTGGAAATGTTCAAGGCTAGAAGTCTCCATCCCTGCAGGGGAATCTGGGCCTTTCCTTTCAGAACAAATCTGAAGATGTGTTAGTCATCTTGGCAAATGGGGACTATGTCCAAAGGGGACTGGATGAACTACCTCAGAGACAGCGTCTGTCCAGCCTGTGTCTCAGACACTTGGATGGTCAGTGGTTTTCCAATTTTATTTCACTCACTAGGTGCGGCCCTGGCAGAGCCCTGGGACCACAAAAGAGGGGGTGGGAGGATTGGAAAGGCTCAAGTTAGATCCCATCTGCTTCTTCCCAGGGATTCATTCATTGACTAGATACTAAGTATCCACCAAAGGAAGGAGACAAAAATGATTTGAGACAGGGTGGTTCACGACAGGAATAACTGCATTCAGAAGCTGAGGCCGGAGGCTCTCAGGGAAGTTCAAGGTCAACTTGGGCTAGGCAGAGTTCCAGGACAGCCTGAGCTACAGTATTAGACCCTGTCTCAAATACACAAACCAAAAAAAGAAAAGAATTTTTAAAAAATTAGCTGGCCTCCAGCCTGGTAGCGAATTCCCCAGCTAGGAAGGTTAGGGAGGTTGAGGCTGAATGATCATTACGCATGCAAGGCTAGCCTGGTCTACAAAGTCAGACCCTGTCTAGAAAACAAAAACAAAATGGTTCCTAAGGCAGGATCTTGTAGTTTGTTGAAAAGTGTACAAACAAGAGTATGTGGCTGGACATGGCGGCACTTGGGAAGTGGAAGCTGGAGGACCAGGAGTTCAGGGGTAGCCTTGGGTACATATGTACTGAGTTTGAAGCCAGTCTGGGCTCTATGAGATCCTGTATCAAAACAAAACAAAAATAGGGTGTGGTGAGCAGTCATAGATACGACACTGCATCAAAGGCATTGTTAGCATTTTATCAATACTCTGAGCAAGTGATCTTTCAAATAAAATAACAGTAACTTGCATTCTATTCATTTAAAATAGAACATGTTCACAATGAAAGCGATTCTTTTCATGTTCCTGGAATTTAACTTGCTTCATTAACATTAGGAACCTGGGGAAATCATCTACCTTGCCAAGCCTCAAATGTCTGGTTTGAAATAAAACAAAATCTAATTCTGCGAATTTGATTATTGAGGGCACAATTGAGATTGCCGATGGGAAAGAACTCTATACAAGCCAATTTCTTGGCATTCTTTTCCTGGCTTATTATAATGGTGTAGATTATCATTCCTTCCTCATCCTTTGAAGAGGCAGAGTTTAAGGTTAAAACAGTTGTGTTTGCCTGCGAACATTTGCTTTATGTAGGAGCTTCCGTGAAGAAGAGTAACCTCAAAATGTCCGTCAGGGATGAATGTATATACATATTCTCTGGAAGAAATGAGAAAATTACTAAGCAGGCCAAATCAAAAGGAAATGAAATTCCTCTGCCCTGGGGAAGTCCTACGAGCCACGCCCACGGGCTCTACTCCAAAGTGCAGCGTCCAGCCACGACTGCAGCCCTCAGCCCGTCCGCATTTCTCATGAGTCAGCTGGCGCCATTTCTGGGATGACCAAGAGAGGCGCTCTAGCCGCACAGCCGCTGGAGCGGTCTCTATGGTACAAGCCCTTCTATCCGCCACCAGCAACTGGCGCCAGACTCTCTGGTCAGCGTTGGCGGGAGGAGGGGCGGGGTGTGAACGACGGAGGGCGTTTCCGAGAGCTGCCAATCACGCCGCGCTCTTCCCGTTGCACACCCCACTGCCCTTTTCGCTTCCTTCAGTTTCCCGCCGCTTTCCACGCTTTTGAGCCGAGAGGGGGCGGGGCTAGGGGCGGAGACTTCCGACGAGCTTTAACTAATCAGCGTTCCTGATGCTGTGACAGACAGCGGCAGTAGCCAATCAGCGGGTCGACTCCCAGGATCTGCGCTCCAGCCCCGTGGCTGACGGCCGTTACTGGTGGCGCGAGCCGGGACTCTGAACTAGGTGAGTTCGGCCTACCGCGGCACGGTTTCCATCTTGATTCTTCCGCGAGGGCCGGAGGGGCGTGTCTTAGGTCCCCCTTGGCGGGGGTAATTTGGGAAGTTTGCCTTCCTGATTCTTATGATAACCCTTCCCTGGCGACGGCGACCCCCGGGATAGACCGTAGGCCAGGCGTCGGGGTCGGACATGGTGGCCCTGCGGTTGGAGCCGAGGGTCGCGGGCGTCTGCTGGGTTGGCACGTCGTAAGGACGGAATCCACGTCTATACCCTACTCTCCCTGCCCACCCGCTCCCTCTGTGTGGCGTCGGTTTAGGTAAATGCCGCCCATGCCATTTTGAGTGTTTAATTTGTTCTTTTAATCAGCAGCTCTTAGACGTAGCCTTCAGGAGAGTAGATTCCTTTTACTGGGTTCAAGATGTATGACCCTGACGGCGAAGATTCCCAGGTGCTCAATGCCTTTGTAGTGAACTTGAGGACCCAAGGGCAAAGGCCGGTCCCACTGGAGGGAGTAGGTGCCAGCATAGGCAGCCAGGAAAAGGGCATTAGGGAAGAGGGATATCGGCGTGGCCTTGGGCAGGTCACTTGTATATTGGATTTTTCTTATCTGAAAAAGAATAGTCATACCAACAGGGTTCTGGAGAATAAATGAGTCCAAGTGCTTACCTCTTTATGTGTTAGGGGTTATGGCTCTTCACCCTGATGTGTTCTGGTAGAGAATAAATCACACAGTTTGTAACACGTTTACTCCTAAGTACATGCTGTGTTATTCTAATCAGATGAATGGATTGGGTTTATTTTTGTTATTCTCTTGTTTTTTAATATTTTATTTATATTTTTTTGTGTGTTTTGCCTGCATGAATGTAAGTACACCAGGTGCCTGCAGTGCTCACAGAGGCCAAAAGAGAGCATCAGATCCCTTGGAACTAGAATTGTAGTTATTAGTTACCATGTGGGTGCTTTCTAGAAACTGAGCCCCAGTCCTCTGCAAGTGCTCCTAACAGCTGAGCCATGTCTCCAACCCATGACTTTTTAAAAAAGTATTTTATTTATTTATATGTGTATGAGTGTTATGCCTGCATTTAAGTAAGTGCACCTCTGCCATGCAATGCTTGAGGAGGACAGAAGAGGCTGGTGGATCCCCTGGAACTGGAGTCAGGACAGTTGTTAGCTGCCATGTGGGTGCTTGGATTCGAACCCGGGTCTTTTGCAAGAACAGTCAGTTCTTAACCGCTGAGCCATCTCTCCAGCCCCCATGACTTTTTAAAAAAATATTTTGCTACTTTTATGTGTATGCGTGTTTTTGCCTGCATGTATGTAAGTGCGCCCATGTCATTACAAGGCTTTGGGAGGTCAGAAGATGGTGTCGGATCCCCTGGAACTGGAGTTACAGACAGTTGTTAGCTGCCATGTGGGTGTTGGAAATTGACCCAGTCCTCCATAGAGCAGCCAGTGCTTTTAACCTCTGAGCATCTCTCTAGCCTCCCCGGCTCCCCTTTTTAGTGGCTACTATGCCTGAACAGCACAATACTCAGTAGTGGTGGTGAAATCAATTTAGGAGCTGGACACTGACATTTTAAAAACTATAGAGTGTACAGGGGCTAGAAAGATGGCTCAGGGCTTAAGAACACTGGGTGTTCTTGCAGAAGACCCGGGTTCAAATCCCAGCACCCATATGGTAACTAAGAACTGAACCTAACTCCAATCCCAGGGGATCCGACAGCCTCTTCTGTCCTCCATGGGCATTGCACGACACGGGTACACTTATCTACATGCAGGCAATACACTCATACTCATAATTTAAAAAATTAAAAAATAAAACTATAGAGCGTACAAGGCCCCAAGTTTGAGCCTCAGTAGTTCACCTCTACATCTGTGTCTGTGTATTAGAGGTTAGAAAAACAATGGGATGAGAACAGTGTTTCACCAAGCACTATTCCTCAAACTCCTGCCCCCATGGTGTTTCAAATAGTGTCTCATGAAACCCAGGCTCAAACTCACTGTTTAGCCTGGCCTTGAGCTCCTGATCTGTACCATTTCCCAGTGCTGGGATCATAGACATGCTATCACACTCAGCTTGAGACTTGCTGTTTTTGAGACAGGGTCTCACATGTTGTCCAGGCTTGTCTCTGACTCCTGGACTCGAGCTTAACTGCACTGCTTCAGCTTCTGGGGGGAGAAGGGAGGATGGGCACACCCCCTCCCTCCAAATTCCCATGCTGTTATTTACATTAAGCCAAGTATCATTTGTGGGTTGGGAGATAGCTCTCAGTGGTAGAGCTCTTGCCTAACATGTGTGATGTCTTGGGTTCTATCCCCAGTTAATGACACACACACACACACACACAAAAAAAAAAACACACACAATGTAAGATAAAATAAATCATGAGCAGGGCATGGTGGCACATGCCTTTAATCTCAGCACTCAGGAGGTGAGGCAGTAAG